AAAACATAAAATAACTACAAAAAGTAGTAAATATACTTTGACAAATAGTGGGTTCTTAGTTTCTATGGTTACTTCAAAAAGGTTATACTATAAAACTTTTTATAATTCATATTAAATGACAAATCATGTTTTTAACTATTAATTGTAAAAAAATTATAAACTCAGTGTTACTGAATTAATACTTCAAGAATATATGTACAAATTGACTAATATTACAAAAATTGTAAACATTGGAGCTTCTGGCATTGGTTACAACTCTATGGTAGTCTCTTACTTATATATAGTAATAATATATAGTTATGTTGTAATTAAATATAATCTGTAAAAAATTAGATACATAATAAATTGACATTTGGCATATAATAAACTCTCCAATTTGTTGCATATGATCAATTCTCTAATTTTAACTTCTCTCTCATATTATTTGTATTTTTTATTTAGTTCTGTAGAAATTATCCGTTGTGGTTGACCTTAGGTTTTACTGAAAAAATAGTAATTATAAAAAAGTTTAATAGATTTTTGTTGTTAAACATACAAATATCTACATTTGATAGTTTTGTATATAAGATTGCCGAAAAAATTTAACATTAAAGCAAACAAACGAATTCATCTTAAATCATCTACATTTTGTTTTTAATAAAACGTCATATTCGAGATTAGATACATCTCTGTGAAAATTTCTTTGAGATTAGCTTAAATGTTGCTGAAAAAAGCTTAAATATAGTTAATAATAATTCTTTCAAATAATTCCTCTTATAATTCTCGAATACTTATGTCTAATAATTGATTTCATAAATAAAATTTAAATATACAAGTCAAATATTTAGCTCTTAAATTTTTTCAATACAATATCAAAACAACATTTAACATTTACTCTTTTGGCAACAGTACTTCAGTTGGAAAAACTTGGAATGATTTTGTGTGTGGTTATTTTGTGTGTTTGTTTACTAGATCAGACAGAAAATGGTGGGATTCAGTGAGTTTGGACTTCTTGAAATATGTGAAACATTGTCGTTTCTAATAGCTAACAATCTCCCTGAAAATTGGAATCTCCGTCACCGTCCGATTACGATCTATCGTGATCCTCTATCGTCGATTTATTTAGCAAAAATGCTGAGACATGTTTAAAGAATGTACTATCTACCAATTACAGATCGTCAGATGAGTCGGATTCCGATAACGTCATGATTTTGTAGGACCCAACTTAAACAAACACGATCGATTGTACACAACAGAAGACTTGTGGTTTATACACGTGAGGTGGTTGGTAGGTTTCAACATTTAACATCAATTAAAACTTAATCCGCACTCTCGTGCGGATATTTGTTTTAATTTGTGTTCAACGTAAATTAATGAATAATTAATTTTATAAAAAAAGTTAAATATGTAATTTTATGTTTTGTAATTTACATATAGAATATAATATAAGTTTATAATATAGATATTTGATAATCATTTTTTATTCGTACATAATATTATATTAAAAATTTTATAATTTCATACAATTTAGTGTAATTGTACTATTTATATATATTAATTTGTTGTTTTTTTGTTAACTTATTTTCAAGTGAAACAACATAATAGTGTTTTTAATATTTTGCATTAAATTTCTAAAAATTATTTATTTTCTAGAAATTATTATTAATTTTATAATATTTTATTTTCTTGAAAATTAAATTCTCAAAATTCTTATATTCGGCATTTAACATCAATATTTATAGTTAATTGGTCGATTATTTATGCTTACGTAGCATACCTCATTTGCTCTTATTTAGAGCTTTTAATAGTGTAAAATTGTATCAGTGGCAGTTATTATTATTTATAGATAGGGATATAACTAGAGAGAAAAAAACTGATTTCGAATTATGAACCATTATCACAATGACATTCTCTTTCGGGAAATTAGGTCTAATATACATACAAAAAACCTAAATTCACTAACTACCCAAAATCTCATAATCTCTTCTATTTTCTCTTCCTATTTTTTTCTATCTTCTCTCTTAAAATCTAATTATAGTTTTTTCTTAGTTATTTCATAAAATCACCCTTCTCTTTCGGCAAAATTAGGTCTAAGTCGTTTCATTTGAATCAAATTGTATTTCTTCCAAATTTTATGACATTTTTCTTTGTTTTATAGTACTATTTAGTATGATATCCCCATATTAAACAAACGATCATATTATTTAGAACCATCCCATAAACCACCCAGTCACATTCATGAAGATTTTCTGTTAGAACTATTATGAAATTAGGAATGACTTTACTGATTGGAGTCTCGGGTTTGGTCGTTCTCTGTTTACTTGGAAGTTTACTAAACATCCACAAGGATCAAGAAGCTCTATTTATGAACAAAAATAATACTTTCTTATCAGATAACGTTTTACGATTGTTCACGTGGATAAAAAACATTTTTATATATTTAGATATATAAAAGATGTTTTATATTTTTACTTTTTTCTAAAAAAACAAAAAAAAACATCTTTTATATATTTATAAATAAAAAACATCATTAATTATTTACTTTACCACACAATTTAATCAATAACAAAAGAAAATGTATCATATCATTAGTTATATAGAATTAATTGTTAAGAAAGAATTATATAGAAAATTGAAAAAACATCATCCAATATAGAAAAAAAATCTATAACATGAAGTATTAAAAAACAGATGAAGTGATCATAATATATTTTTAGCAAACGAAATTACAGTTATTATGGGTTTTGTTTCGTTAAAAAGCTTTTAAAAGGGGAAAATTTAGTTTGAGAAAAAGTTGCTATATAGAATTGTTTTAACACCAGTTGAAACAAAACATCCATACACTAAGGAGATAATTGGTTAGGCTGTAGATATAATTTATATATAATAATTTAGTTGTAGATAAGTTAATTGTAACTACAAACAAAAAAAAAACAAGGTCAAAGCCTGAAAGTTGTTCTATGCTTCTATTGTGCTTCTCAAAACAAGTGTTCACTCATATACGATGATTTTATGTGGCTTTATCAAGACTAATTTCAAAGTGTGCCTCAAAATCGTATAAGGAGAAGACCAACATTCTTGAAAAGTACTTAAAGACATTGTTTACAAAGAAATATACAATACCTTACAAGTTACAACTTAAGGAGATTGGTAAGAAAATACACATAGAGAAATATGAAACTATTTATTTTATTTGAGTTTTTTGTATTGAACTATTTTACTTTCTTTTGAATGCATGAACAAAAGCCACATACCATATGTAATAGGTCTGGACATTCGGATCTTCGGATTGGATTAGGGCTGGGTCTTGTCGGGTCCGAGTACTTTGGATCTTAGATATTTAGATCTAATAGAATAATGAAAATTTTTTGGTTTAGATTCGGTTCGGATCATGTCGGATCTAGGTTGGTTCGGATCTTAGATAGTTGGATCTAATAAGGTAGTTAGAATTTTTTTGATTCAGTTTGGTTCGGCTTCGGTTCAAAACTTGTCATGTCGGCAAAAATACCCAAAACACACAATAATTATAAACAAAAACTATGAGAAAATATATAAAGAAAACATAAGAGAAAATAAGCTGAATTTGCTTGTACAAAGACCATTAAGCCACCATTACCAGGGACTTTTAAAGGGGTTTTTGGTGGGTTTTAAAGGCGTGGGCCCCACAAAAGGGATACGAAAGATCACATAAATTGTGAAATAAGGACCGATTTTACCTGATTTCTTACATAAATTGCGAACAGTGCAAAATTGGAAAGATATAGAAAATATTAGCATGGTTACCGATGCCATTGATACGTGGCACCCTGCGATTAGTTCGCTTTTTAATTTTTAATCAGACAAAAAAGGTTTCTAAGAAACTATGCCACCGGTTTCTGCGTTGATGATGCTCTTACACGCTTGACTAAGATATTCCTCCAGAGATTAACCAAAATGACAAAAAATATGTTATTTCTGGATTAGCGTCACCAAGCAAAAATTCCATTTAAAATAAGTTAGCTTTTGGTTCAGTTTTAAAACTTTTGGTTTAATTCATATCAAAATTCAAACCAACATCATTTCATTCTTTTTTATAACATCTAACTTTATTGATATCAAATAAATGTAACAGATTACATGAAACATGAATTTCAATAAACATGTTATTTTTTTGAAACACAATAAACATGTTGTTAAAACAAACATATAATCGAAATATTTTTTTTTCCGCTTTGGGTGCTATCTAAAAGGCGACTTTTTACAGAAACCGTTTTCTTCACACTTTTCCGGTGGCGTTTGGCCACTGGATTTTTTCTTTTTAGTTTTTCTATCTCTTCTATATTTTTTTAGAACAGTCTTTGAAGTGTGATTCATTATTGTTTTGGGTGAATCGGAGTTTTCATCTTTCTCTTTCGATTTCCGATGGAGTATGTGGCTTATCACTAACTCCGACGATGATTGATTTCCTTCACTTCCTGTTTCGGTTATCGTCTTTATTCCTCGTTAATTTTGGTGTTTTTGTTTCCCTTTACTAGGGTGGTATTTTACAGTCACTGCTCTTCGATTCAGTGTCGGTGTATGTCCATCAAAACTTGTGATTGATGGTGTCTTTCTGATGGTAAGGATTAGATATTCTTGACTTTAATCCATCGGTCTCTATTCGTTAGCCTTATGGTTTTACGGATTTTTGCGAGCACTCAATCAACCATGGCCACCGCCAGGTATTCTCCTTTTGGGTGTACGGTTTGGAAATCTTACATCTTGTAGAAGATGGTGGTGTGGTATGATAGCACTGGATTGTATGTTGATATTTGTGTGTGATTGGTTTCAACCATTGACCGCTCAATTAATTAGAGAAAAGGTCACGATGATAAACAATGGATGGTTTATTGTTTCATGGGAGCCACCATATGAGGGATTACTACAGAAAAGAGAAGACTTCAAAACAATAAAGAGACAAAAATTGGCGTTCAGTTTGAAGTTAAGGCTTTATTGGTATCAGAGAAAAAGAATGTTAATGCCATGCACAAGTTCAATAAAACATGTTATCTCTTGCAGCGGGAGTGTTTGGGACGGATTACGATGTAACAGATGGATCAGATCTTTTGAAAGAAAAAAGTTATTTACGCACAATAGCTAAGAGCCTCAAGAAAGATTTTATAAGACCAAGAACAAAGTGGATGAAAGCTAGCGAGTCAGTCTATCCTACGAATGCGCTAGGAAGCATCGTGTTAATGTTGTCTCTATTAAAAGTTCTTTTTAACAACATGTTTTATGTATCTTTTGTTTCATGTAATATGTTACATTGATTTGAAATCAATAAAGTTAAGATGTATAAAAATATACATATATATATATATAGATAGCAGTAGCACATTGCTTCTTCACGCATTCACATGATATGCTGATTCGCTAGCTTTCTTCCAGTTTGTTCTTGGTCTTGTAAGATCTTTCTTGTGGCTCTCGGTTCTTGTGAGTAAACGTCATTTTTCTCTAATAATATCACTGGATGCGATCCATCTGTTGCATCGCGATCCGTCCCAAACATTTCCGCTGCAGGAGATAACATAATTTGTTGAAATTGTCTCTGACATTGAAATTCTTTCGCTTTGACACCAATAAACCTATATCTTCAATTTTTTGTTGTTGTAGAATCATTTGCAAATTTCTTCTTCTAGTCCAAAATCTATTCTTCTCTTTTACGGTACCAATCAAACTAATAGTGGTTTGAAAAAGTGCAGGTTGAGTAAACAAAAGGAATATCGTTTGATTTCTTGCAGTCCCAGATATAAACCTCCTAGATAATCTGATAAATACATATGGTACCTTCAAACCCGAGAATGGCCATGGCACCTTCTGATATAGAAACTCTGATTTCTTGCAGTCCCGGATATAAACCTCCTAGATAATCTGATAAATACATATGGTACCTTCAAACCCGAGAATGGCCATGGCACCTTCTGATATAGAAACTCTGTGTGCTCAAATCGAGATCTTCGATAGAATATACAAACATGCATCATGTGCAAAAGAAGTCCATCGATACTGTAATTCCTGGCTAAGGATTCCAACACCGGAAAATTAACACTCCACTTGGGAGAAGAGATGCACGGCCATCATTCGCCGAACACCCATTGATCTTCTCTTCCAAATTCTCAGGATTTTCCAAATGATAACTGATATATTTATGACCGAGATCATAGTTCATATTCGCAGGTGAAGAATCCAGGATGACTGTGAAAGGTGAGATAACAGCAAAACACGATTTGGTTTCTCCCAAATCGACAAACTTATGTCCAATTCAACATGAACTGGTTTGATTACTAAACTAATACTAACTATAAGGAAATAAACAAGAGAAACCGACGGCCAAAGCTCCGGACATCTAAAATGTATGATATTCTAAAGCAACTTATAATTGTAATTAGATTTTGAACCAGATGGTTTGGCAAGACTGGTTGTTCGGCTATCTATATTTTAAGGCTGAACGGGTGAGCCTATTAATAGAGTGGGCCTCTTAGATAACTTAAAGCCCACAAATTTATACAAAACACCAGCGGTATAATTAAAGCCTTATAAACCGTTAGATTTAAATCTTCCATCGCATCATGTCCGTTCAAATGACACCTTTCCTCACCTACACGTTACTCTAGCCATAATTGAGAACCACATCGAGAAGAGAAGAAGGAACAAAAAAAAAAAAAACACGAAACGAGAAGAAGATTAGGGCTTTCACTGGATTTGAGTTACAGGAAAAATAGTCATTACATTCTTCTTCTTTCTGTTTCGCTATCCGAGAAGCTTTTTAGATACTATCAAGGTTCGTTCTTTGATTTTTACTACTTCTTACTGTAACTGTCGACTGTTCCAATTGTTTTCCTTTCCGTTCTAATAATTATTATGTGAGGGTTTGTATCGAAATTGCTTATTGTTTTGTCTTACTTATTAAATCGAATTAGGGTTTCTGGGTTTTGTGTGGTTCTTGGGGGGGGGGGGTAATTAGTAGAAGGATCATTTTTGTTGTCATCAATAATTATAAACCGCATTTCCTCATAAATCTCATCTCTTTGCATACTGTTGAACTTTCATTGATTTGCTTCATGAACACTAATTTCTGTTGATAGTAGTCTAATAATGATTACTAACTAAACTAATTTCTCATTGTTTTCAGTGTCAACACCTCTCTGTTTATGTTTAATTTCTAAACTCATGTTACTAATGTTTTTCCTTTTAAAGGATTTAGTGTAAATTTTTATATATGTGGTGGTGACCATCATCATAATGAATTTTTATTGCTCTTGATTGATTGATAATTCATTTCCGTCTCTTGTATTTATGTTTATCCTTTTATTGTTTGTTAATGTCCTGTTGGAATTTTGAATAGAGTAGGCATGTCTTGTGATACTACTACTGCCAAGGAAAATGTATCTGTTGTCGATTCGTCTTTGACTGATTCGAAACAAGATATAGGACACTCTGATGATCCAGGTAAACACGGTGTAGCATGTCTTTTCTTTTCTTTGTTTGTTTTGTTGTAATCGTGTTACTATGGACAGATGGTTCAAGCTACAGGAGCAAAGAAGATCGTAAGCCCTCCAGTGTTGAACGAGGTCACTTTCTTGATAGTTCGAACGAGAGTAAACCAGGGTATCAAACGAGATACTTCATCATCAAAAGTCTAAACTACGACAATATTCAACTTTCGGTCGAGAGAGGCATCTGGGCTACTCAAGTCATGAATGAGCCTATACTGGAAGGTGCTTTTCATGTAAGAACCTCTCCTCGATAAATATAATGTTACAACTTAAATTTAGTGTTTTTGTATACTGAAATCTTTATATTTATGTATTGTAGAACTCTGGTCGAGTTGTTCTAATATTCAGTGTGAACATGAGCGGCTTCTTCCAAGGGTATGCACAGATGTTGTCTCCTGTGGGTTGGAGGCGAGACCATATATGGAGTCAGGGAGGTGGTAAGAACAATCCTTGGGGACGCAGCTTTAAAGTGAAATGGTTGAGGTTGAGTGAACTGCCTTTTCAGAAAACACTTCATCTCAAGAATCCTTTAAATGATTACAAGCCTGTTAAGATTAGCCGAGATTGCCAGGTACACACCTTAAGGTCAAAGATAGTTTATCCTAAAGGCTAGAAAAAGATGAACTCACTTGAAGTTTCTTTGATGTGTGCTCTCTAGGAGTTGCCCGGAGATATTGGTGAAGCACTTTGTGAACTCCTTGATGCACATAGCTGCGATGATGGTTTGCTGAATAGGTATAAGTGAGGATCTTTCGTTCTTAGATCTCTTTATATCTGCTTGTTCTTGATATTGTCGTGTGACAGCTCTTCTAGGGATGAGAATTCAACAAAAAGGTCTTCCTCAGGAGACGAAGAGTATAATAACAATGTGTGGGGCCATACACAGATGCCTTACCCTCCTGCGGTCTACTCAAACCAGGATGACCTCAGCAGATTCCATCATGCACAACAGGGAGGATATGGTGGTGTAGCCTTGGAATATCTCCCGGAGCAAGAAAAGTATTTACGATTCAACTCATGGGGTTTGCCTTTGGAGAGCCCTCTCGCAAGTACCCTAACCGATGATGATTTTCTTAACATGGTAGTGGCATATCTGCTTGTAACATATCTGTTTGTAAATCATGTTGTTAGTTTTGGTTCAAAGATGCTTATGGCACACAACTGGAAACTTGGTTTATATGTTTGTATTTCTGATTCATATTCAAACTTACTTACATTTGAGGATTTGGCTCATGCTTTGCATTAAAAGGGGTTTCTTATGTTTCTTGAGAAGCATCATGAGCTCCGTTTTTGTTGTTGTTTTTGCAGTCTTATGAAGAATACGTTGAAATCCACAGCAGATGCATGAGACAACTTGGTCTTCCTGTCAGTATGTTTTATCCATCATTGTTTAACATTCACTCTTCTAAAAATATGGCATGACCTGTTAGTACTTTTGCGTCAACTTACTTTTCTTAGGTTAGGTTTGAAAAAACCTAACGTTTGTTAGGTTTTTTCATTTTCTTATGTGATGTGATACTTATAACTTCATACGGATCATCATTGCCTGCTTCTTACTCGAGAAACCTTCTTTTGCCTGTGCAGGTGATTCCACAATCACGACCCACACAAGAGCCATCAAGTAAAACAGATGATGGGTAAGCTTACAAAACCTGCTACTGAATTAAAGAAAGCTTCATTTTCTTGATTTGTCTATTCCCTGTCATTTTATCAGAAGCAACGGTTCTTCGAAAGACCGGTCATCATCAAGAAAGAGAGGACGCGATTCATCCTAGTGCTCAAACTCGAACCTGTACCACTAAGATTGCATCAAAACTCACAAGAATTTGTCAGTGCAATTTCGATAGCATGGCGTTGGAGAAGCTGTTTCCATGCTGTATTAATGTTCATTTAGTCTGGTGGTTTATAGAAACCAGAAGACAGTAGCTAAACAGTTTCTTCTTCTTATTTTTTTGCCAAAAACTTGTACAGTTTAAATATGGCAACGTTTGAGCTTTTGGAAATCTAAACCCTGAATTAGGTTAGTGATTTAGTTTTGAAAAGATGAGTTCTCAAGTTGTCATTATACCAAGATAAACAGACTACAAAGCAAGAACCTTACTGATATAACCTATTGTAGGTGGTGGAATACTCCCCTCGATAAGGTCCACCAAATAACGGGTTCGGCTTATGTGGGCTGTAGCCCAACGAGATAATATTCCCACGATTAGCAACTAATCGATTTTAGCTCGAATAATCCCCGAGGTTAACCGAGTTAACAACACAGTACATGACTAAAAGGTTAGAAACCCTATTAACCTCTTATCATACCCACAAATGAGTCTGGACTGACAGACTTAAGTTCCTAGAATTGTTAGCTTTCATTTTAGATCTTTATTTGGTGTATTATTACTTGTTAGTTTAGTTGGGCGGTACAAGATAGATTACGTCTTTCCATAGGGGCGAAGCCAGCTCAACACTCGCACTCGGCTGTGTGGCTCAACTTTGCTTAAGAACATTACCCACCATTTTTGCTTATCATGGAATGATGAGCCATTTGGAATTCGTATGTTTGATTGGCCATTTTTTCTGCGATGTATATGGGCATGAGAACCGGAAAGAAATCCCTTGTGCTGCGAAAAAATCATGGAATTGACTGTTGTTATAAACAGTGCCATTATCGCATTAAAAAGCTTTGATCTTTTTGTTGAACTGAGTGTTGACATAGGAAAATAATGCTGTATTCATGTTCATTTATGGAGTCATGAAACTAGAGAAGCTGTTGTCATGCTGTATTCATGTTCATTTAGTCTGGTGGTTTATAGAAACCAGAAGACAGTAGCTAAACAGTTTCTTCTTCTTATTTTTTTTTTGCCAAAAACTTGTGCAGTTTAAATATGGCAACGTTTAAGCTTTTGGAAATCAATAGGTTAGTGATTTAGTTTTGAAAAGATGAGTTCTCAAGTTGTCATTATACCAAGATAAACAGACTACAAAGCAAGAACCTTACTGATATAACCTATTGTAGGTGGTGGAATACTCCCCTCGATAAGGGCCACCAAATAACGGGCTCGGCTTATGTGGGCTGTGGCCCAACGAGATGATATTCCCGCGATTAGCAACTAATCGATTTTAGCTCGAATAATCCCCGAGGTTAACCGAGATAACAACACAGTACATGACTAAAAGCTTAGAAACCCTATTAACCTCTTATCATACCCACAAATGAGTCTGGACTGACAGACTTAAGTTCCTAGAATTGTTAGCTGTCATTTTAGATCCTTATTTGGTGTATTATTCCTTTTTAGTTTAGTTGGGCGGTACAAGATAGATTACATCTTTCCATAGGGGCCATCAAATGGCCGAATAGACTCGGCTTTTGCCAGCTCAACACTCGCACTCGGCTGTGTGGCTCAACTTTGCTTACGAACATTACCCACCATTTTTGTCTATCATGGAATGATGAGCCATTTGGAATTCGTATGTTTGATTGGCCATTTTTCTGCGATGTATAAGGGCATGAGAACCGGAAAGAAATCCCTTGTGCTGCGAAAAAATCATGGAATTGACTGTTGTTATAAGCAGTGCCATTATCGCATTAAAAAGCTTTGATCTTTTTGTTGAACTGAGTGTTGACATAGGGAAATAAATGATGACGCGATTCATCGTAGTGTTCAAACTAGAACCTTTACCACTAAGATTGCATCAAAACTCATAAGAATTTGTCAGTGCCAATTCGATAGCATGGCGATAGAGAAGCTGTTGTCATGCTGTATTCATGTTCATCTAGTCTGGTGGTTTATAGAAACCAGAAGACGGTAACTAAACAGTGTCTTCTTCTTCTTCTTCTTATTTTTTTTTTTTGCCAAAAACTTGTACAGTTTAAATATGGCGCAACGTTTAAGCTGTGGAAATCTAAACCCTGAATCAGGTTTGTGATTTAGTTTTGAAAGATGAGTTCTCAAGTTGTCATTATACCAAGTTACAGACTACAAAGCAAGAACCTTACTGATATAACCTTATGTAAAGAAAGCTCCTCGTATGATAGAAGAACATCAAATCTCAGTTCATCTCATCTAGTTGACTCAATCTAGTAGTTGCATATTATTCTCTTGATATTTGCAAACAATCCAACGTTCGTGGTGTACCTGGGCGAAGCCAAATTCTTTTTCTTTTGTTTCAAACCTGGATCGTTTACATATTATTAAGTTCGTATTGTTAGCTCTCACTTTGGATCCTTATTTGGTATATTATTACATGTTGGGCGGTAGAAGATGGATTACATCCTTCCATAGGGGCTATCAAATAAGGGATTCAGCCACTTAGCCCAATACGACTCGGCTTTTGCAGCTCGACACTCGCACTAGGTGTGGCTCAACTTTGCTCAGGAACATTACCCACCATTTTTGCCTATCATGGAACGAAGAGCCGTTTGGAATTCATATGTTTGACTTAACTGAATTTGTTCGACGATTAGTTTTTTGTAAAATTTTCTATATGTTAACAAAAGATTAGTTTGGAGATAATTCGATCGAACTAGAACTGAATTTTATTCAGCCAAATAAAGCTGGATACGTTTGGTTCGGTTTCGTTACTTACTTGAAAAAGAATATGATCGTATAATTATTTCTCCATGTTGTTTTTTTGGATGACGTATAATCGATATAGACAACAACACAGATCGATACTTTTATTAATCAAATTCAAAAGAAACAATTACAACGAAAGATAGATATGGAGAAACAATGAAGCAAAAGGGGAACGAACTTGCCGATTACACAGCACAAACCCCATTATTCATTATTGCATGAGAACGTACGTTCATCATTTTATTCAGTCGAAGGAAATTATAAACACAAAAGCAATCACCAGTTTTTTTTAAAAAACAAACAAGAGGATAGGCAACACGCTCAGCCTTTTTATTTTCTTAGGTATGTCTTTGGAATGTCATACATATTTAACTTACACGCATTGGAAACCTTGTGGAACTGTTCCGCCACAACCACTGAGGAGTAATCTGAGACTGATAGGAAGGTTAATTAGGTCGATGCCAAGAATGTTAGCATGGAGCGCGGTACAGAGACAGGCTGCAGCGTCAAGTTCAACTAAACCTTTAATGATCGAGCAGCATGGTTGTACAGGTGTTCCCAATGTAAGGTTAACTAAATTGAGCGCATTAACACAAACATCGATCTGAAGGGAATCTAAAGGACAAGTGCCTTGAGCAGAAGTGTAAGTGAAGAAGAGGAGGTTAAGGAAAAGAAAGAGTGCAAGAGAGGTTCTTGGAGCCATTTGTTTGTGCACCA